TTACCTTTCTTTGTATACCCAGTGCTTAGCATAATGCTTTCTACATAGTAAGCATTTAATACTTGTTGACTGATTATTGCTCTTTTGGTTAACAAGCAAAAGTGGCTTCTAAAATAATCACCACCATTTTAGGCCACCGAAAATGAAAAACCGGTAACTGTGTTTAAAATGAAATAGATATACCTAAATAAAGTGCATTGTAAACAAAATTATTTTATTTTGCACAAAAAATCCTATTATGAAGTTTGCAAATATTCTCATTTTACAGAAGAGAAAATGAACCTGTGAGTTAACATAATTTGCAGTACACTTACATCATACATACAGCCTTCTTGACTAAGGCTATACCGTACTGCCTGAACTCATCCTCATCTCTCCAAAGAACTTTAAACACTACTTCTGAGATGCAGAGCTTTGATTAGTGAGCTTTCAATTATGCCTTGGTGGGAATCAAGCTACCATGCCACTTCCAGGCCAGCCCCACACAGTATAGCCTTCCCCTTGCTTAGCAACCTGTCACATGCTGTCTTTTTGAAGCAGATTGTAAACTCTTTGAGGGCAGGGACTATCTTTCTGGCTCATATTTGTCTCCAGTGCTTATCGTAGTGCCTAGCACATAATAAATACTTTATCAATCTATCTACCTAAATGAATGCTATCACTGGGAAGGCAGCATAGTATAGTGAAAATGTATACTGGCTCTGGAGTCAGTGGATCTGAACCCCTACCCTCATACTAGGGAACTTCAACATTGATACTCTCTCAAATACACTAACCTCCAGATTCCTCAACTTATTAATTCCCATGACTTACTCCTCCATTCCACTACAGCTACACAAAGATGGCCATACCCTTGATCTTGCTATCACCCACAAATGTGCCACACACATGTTCATGAACTCTGATCATCTGCTGTCATTACATCTCTCCCTCTACTGCACAACTCCAAATCCTATTCTTCTTCCTGACCATCACTTCCAATCACTCCCCTCCTCAGTTTTGCCCCGGTCATCACTTCTATACTGGCTATACTCTCTTCCCTTTCTCATTCTGACCATTATACGTTGTAAACTGCCCTTTTCTTTTGAGTCTCTTGTCCTTTTATCCTATGGAAGATCTTGCCTGCTTAACCTCATACTTGGATTACTCCCCACTGGCTACTGCCTTCTCTGGTGAACAGAAGCCAGAGAAAATCATGAAACCATGATGGATGGGTCCTCTATAATTTATGTTACATAATCTCAACTGGGTGTCACTGTAGCAAGACAATCCTCTTATACCTCCCAATCAATTTACTATATCATTCACCAAAGTAGCTTTTCCAAGTCTTTTCATCCCTCCCTAAACTTCCCTTGGCTCTTCCTTTCCTCATCCTCTCAGCTGAGAACACTACCTCATATTCCAGTGAAAAAATTGAGGTCATTGGCAACTCACCATTAGATGTCTTCTGCTTATATCTCCTCCTTCACCCTATCTCACATGAAGCTGTGGTTCTTCTCCTTGCCAAGGCAATACTCTCTACATTTACAAGTGATGTCATTCCATCCCATCTTCTCCAGCAGAATGGTCCTACCAACAGTACCACTCTCACTAATTTTTGATTGGTTCCTCTCTACTGGCTGCTTCCCTACTGCCTACAAACATGGCCACAACTCCTCATTCTCAAAAAATCCTCACTTTGTCCGTCAGTCATATTCTCTTCTCTTTTTTCATGCCTGAATTACTTGAGAAGGTTGTTTACAATAGGTATTTCCACTTCCTTTCTTCTTACCATCTTCTGAAGTGTTTGCAGTCTGGCTTCCAACCTCATCATTCAATTGAAACTTTTTTTACCCTTCTCTCAATCTTCACCTTTCTTGACTTCTTCAGTCACTGACACTATCAACCAACCTCTCTTCTTCTTGATACTCTCTTCTTTCTAGGTTGCTTCAACTTTACTCTCTCCAAGTTTTCTTCTTACTTGTCTGATAGCTCCTTCATCCAGTCACACCCACCAAGGTGGGGATCCCCCATGGCTCTGTTCTGGGTCCTCTTCTCTCCCTCTGTACTATTTTGCTTGGTGATCTTAATAGCTCCCCTGGATTAAATTATCATATCTTTTCCCCCAAATGTACCCCTCTTCCCTAACTTCCCTATTACTGGTGAAGGTACCACCATCATCCAGGTTTACAACCCAACATGTTGACTCTTCATTCTCACTCACCCCCCCCCATATCCACAATCAATTACCAAGGCCCGTCCATTCTATCTTCCAAACATCTCTCATATACATCCTGTTCTACTCTCTGACACTATCACCATCCTGATATAGGCCTTTATCATTTCATGCCTGGGCTACTGCAATAGCCTGCTGATTGGTCTCCCTACCTCAAGTCTATCCCCACTCCAACAATCTATCTGCCACTCAGCTATCAAACTGATAATCTTTCGAAAGTACAAGTCTGACCATATCACCTTCTCCACCCCCATTTAATAAACTCTTTCACTGGCTGTCCCATGTTTGGAGCCTTCTTCCTCTTCAACTCCAACTCCCAGGTTCCCTGGCTTCTTCCAGAAGCCTTTCCCAGTCCCCCTTAATCTTACTGCCTTCCTTATGAGAAAATTGCTAACTCATCCTGTATATGTCTAGTTTATGCAGAGTTGTTTGTACATCGTCTTCCTCGTTAGACTATGAGCTTCCTGACAGCTGGAACTGTTTTTTACCTTTCTTTGTATCTCCAGAATTTAGCACACAGTAAGCACTTAAATCCTAGTAGCCATTTCTCATGCTTACAACCTCTAGTAACCTGAAGCAAATCACTTAACTTCCTCTGGGTCTCAGTTTCCTCATCTGTAAAATGAAAGGATGGCAACTGGTAGCCAAGGTTCCTTTCAGCTCTAGATCTATGATCCCATGATCTTTTGATGATAACCTCCCAGGAAAAAAAAATTCTGTTTTCTCTTTGCCTGGTATTACGCTGATAAGGGCAATGTTAAGTCAAGGCAGGTTCTTAAACATTTTTTACTTCCTATTTTCCAGATGATATTTTCAACCACCTTATTTTCCCTTTCAAAATTCATTTTCTAACATAAAAAAGCAAACAGGAAAAGTAAATTATAGATTATAAGGATGATAGTAGATAAGGAAAATATGAATATGAAATGAAAGATTTGTACGTAACTTAAACAGCAAATATTAAATCTGAATTCAATTAAATGTGACTAGAGTAAAGGAATAGATGTCAAACAGTTATATTATATTTGGAATACTGTATTCAGTTTTTACTTAAGAACAAAAACAAACCCTGTATTTCCTGTGGAACCTCCCTTCTTTCTCCATCTTTGCTTCACTAAATCATTCACAATTCACATTATCATTTCACTTTGACTCTCCTACTCCTAATATCCTTTGCTCCAATTCAATAAAAATGTAGTACGTAGAATTAAAGGGAAGTAAATTAAGACTATTTCAAGAGATCTAAGATCTCATCCACTCAGGAATGCAACCTACACTTTCTCATCTTGTGTACTTCTTGTCCATGTGTTTCTGTAAATTCTGCATAGAGAATCTCTCCAACGAATCGAATGCTTTCCTCTGGGTCTGCTAAAAATGGATCTAGCTATCATCAGGAGGTTGGCCTCTAGATGAAGAAAAATTTTGATTGGCTACAAGGTATAATGAAAAGCCATAGAGAACCTTAGTTCACATAACATCTCTGAGGTTTTGTACATGTGTGAATTTGGGCAATTTATTTAACTTGTCTGGGCTTCAGTTTCCTCTTCTGTAAAAAGAGGGGGTTGGAGTAGATGATCTGTTAGGTTCTTTCCAGATCTAAATCTTGTGATCTATGAAACATAAGAATACCACAGGACTTCTTAATCCTGTAGTTCCACAGACAGAGTGGGAAGAGGGTGCTAAGAATTACAGAACCAATCAATGCTAGTTGGCAAAACAAAACAAAACAAAAAAGAGAAAGAGAGAGAGCGAGCTTATTTGTGGAATCTACCACCCGTTTGTCATCAAGACAGGAGTTGGACAAACCAGTCACAACCTCTAAAACCACCAGAAACTAATACAGAGCAAAATAACTATCAGATTTAAAAGGGATTCCTATGCCTTCAAACATTATACAACAATCTAAAAGCACCTCAATAATGCGGGAAGGTGCCATTCCAGTATCCAGACTAACCTATAATCCTTTAAAACAGCACACTGGTTCCAGAACAGGTCCCCCACAAACTAATTTACCATGGCAAATTTTGTACTTTAGAACACTATCCTTTTTTCTATGGTGACCAAAATCCAAATCCCAAAGTGTGACGATCTACCTGAACAGGTGGCTAATCAAAGAGATCAATTCATCCAAGATGCACAACTGTTGTTGTTGGCTGGCCTTAGAGACGTGGAGAAACTGATCAAAGTTTATGAATAGGGAAAGACTCTACACATGGAGGAAGATGAAGGGAAGAGTACAAAAAAATGAGGGGGGAGGTGTAGATTCATTCTTGTTATAGAGCCTAGGGGAACAGGATTCACTCCCCCACCATGCCCCGCTTAGGTGCCCTGCTGGGCAGAGTGAGTCCTAGACTGGCTCCCCAACCCCCGGGGAGCCACGAGCCCGGGAGCAAAACTAGAAGTAAACTTAAAAACTCCACATTGGGGAAATCCGGGTAAACCGCTCGCACCCGGGGGTGCAGAACCGGGGAGCGCCGCTGTCCGTGGACAGCGGCCCCTTCTTGAACCCCGTCATCCGCCGCAGCTCCGGCGCTCCTCCCGGCCGAGCCTCGCCCGCCCCCCACGACGCTGACCCGGGGAGGGGTCACTCGGACGCCCCCGGCCCGAGGCCCGGGGCGCCCTCCGCGCAGCCGCCTGCCGCCCGCCGCTCCCCACCTCCCCTCAGCGACAGCGCCGCTCCGGGCAGGAGGGGACGGTCCCCGCGGCGGCCGTTAACGTCCCCAACGCCGCGGAGGCCCCGGCCTCGCCGGGGGATGCGCCCCCCGCTGCCCCGGCCTCCCCGTACCGTAGGTCTCGGACATGGCCGTCTGCGACATCTTGGGAAGCGGGCGCCGCCTCTTCCCCCGGTCTCCGGCTGCAGCTCGGGGGCCGGGGGTGGGGGGTGAAGGAGAGGGGAGGAGCAGGGGTCAGTCAGCTAGAGCAAGGTCTGACCGGGGCTAGGGAGCCCGTAGAACTGGTGGGGTGGGCGGGGAAGGAGGGGCGCGGCCGGGTCCCCACGGCAACCGCCAGCCACCCCTAGCCGTTCCTGCTCAGGACCGGACCGCGGGGTTCCGCGCAGGCGCACACTGCCCACCCACCTACCTCTCCGCCCTCCCTCCCCTGGAGAGCGCGGGGAGGGGAGCGAACTGGCTGGGGAGGGGAGGAGGAGGGGAGGGGTGGAGGGAAGGTAGTACTCGGAGACCGTGAGCAGGGGGAAACCCGACCTCCCACCTCTCTAGCGCCTGCGCACCAGGGGCGGGAGGGCCAAGGGGCGGTGCGCGAAAGCCTGGATCACCAAAACAAAGAGCACGTGCGCGGAACTCCATCCGGGGCCGACTGTCGGCGGGAGACCCGGGGAAAGGGAGGGAGGGGCGGCGGATTGCACACGCCCGGGACGAAAGCTCCAAGTGTAGGAGGTTAGAGGTGGAGTCCCAAGAGGGAGTGCCCCATCCTTAGGTGGGTTACTGACAGGGGGAGAATAACCTGCTAGGAAAGCTTACTAGGCTCCTATTGGGAGAAGAGCTTAGGTGAGGAGGCGGCTTCCATTAAAACGAGATTACCCAAGGTGAGGGCTGGTACCCTGCCTTGGTATCCCGTATATTTTGCATTGACTGGGGCACTCAAAAAAATATTTGCACGTTCTGGCCTTTACTATGCCGCTCTGAGGCCATGCAGCCGTATTTCAGTTGTAGCAGAAAGATATATACATGTATTTATTGTCTACAGTGTGCTAGGGACCGTTCGGTGCATTGGAGATAAAAAGATGACAGTGAAAATAGTCCCTATCAAGGATCTCATGGGAGAAGAGGAGGGGAGGAGAAGCAACATGTTCATATATAGTTATATTAAAATATATACAGATACAAAATTATTTTGGTGGAGAAGGATCTAGCAGATGGGCAAGGGGATCCAGAAAAACCTCTTGTAGAAGGTGGTACTTAGAAACTGAGTCACGAAGGAAGCTAGAGATGCCAAAAGGTAGCAGTGAGGAGGGAGTACATTCCAGCAAGTGCAAATGTAGGGTGACATGTGGTTTACAGACTGTCCAATTTGCCTCTTAGAATGACTTAGAGGCCACAATGTAAGTAAGTAAATAAAGTAAAGTAAGGCCAGAAAGTTAGGTTGGGGCCAAGTTGTGAAGAGCTTTCAAGGCCTTTTAGGGGATATATGTTCCCATGTAGGTGGCCTAAATGCAGAGATACTCATAGGTATGAATAGATAAGATCGGGGGGCTAGCCCTGCTCTGCAGATGGCTTTGCCTGCACCATCCCAAAGCTAGCTGGAGAAAGGGGCAGGCAAGGTCTGAGACAGCTGGTCAATTTCTCCTCTAATCTCCAAGAGAGGTATCAGGCCAGAATCATTTTTATCTGCTGCTGTCTCAAATATCAGGTATGTGAATCTGGGTTTAAAAGGAAAGCTGATTTCCTGGTTGCTTTTAAGGGAGACTGTAGCCCTTAGCTTATATTCACCAGCTTCTCACCAAATACTCATTGCACAAAAGACCATCACAAATAGCAAATGGAGAGTAAATACATTTATCCAAGTAAAACAGCGAATAGAAATTAGAGAAGTTATATATATTAAAATATGGCAAAGAATACACATAAGTGAAAAAGTTCTTCATCTAGGAAGCTCAACTTAGACTAGGGAAGCAAGAACAATCTCACCCAGAAAAAGTACATTCTATCACTCCCTAGAATTTCGAGCAAGTCCAAAGAAATGCATGGGGCTGGCTTCCCATGTATGTCTGCTAGTTCAAAGACTTTCTCCTTCTCCTCCATGGAGTGTCTTTTGTTCAAGTATCTCTTCCAAAAGTGACTGGAACCAATTCAGAAATTCTCTTTCACTGATCTGAAGCATCATACTCAACTTTATCTCAATTAAATAAGATCCTTATCAACTTGTACATACTCTGTAACACACATAACACTCCAGGCTTGGGTGACTGGAAGGATGGTGGTGCCTTTGATAGATATAGGAAAGTTAGAAGGAGTAATAAATTTAGAGGGAAAGATAATAAGTTCTGTTTTGGACATGATGACTTTGGTAATGTGGGACCCCCACCTCTCTCAGGAGAGAGATTAGGGCTGGCTATATAGGTATAGGAGTCATCTGTATAGATAAGATAATTAAATCCTTGGAATTCTATTATAAGAAATCAAACTGATAAAAATTATTCCCACAAAACATTTGACAATATTTTCTTTGTCATCATCACCCACTATAAGATGATACTTGTTTAATATTTACCATAACAGCAAGATGAAGCAAGTTCATTCTGCCTTCTCAAAGTTATTTACAATTTAAATCTGGCCAAATATAAATTGATAGGTAAATATGAAATGTATTTAAAATAAAAAAGAGTCAAGTTCTTGTATTTTTCAACATAGAGTAGACATTTACTGGTTCCATATATATGTATATGTATATATATATGTATGTATGTATGTATGTATGTATGTATGTATGTATGTATACACACACACACACACACATACATTTCTAGCAATCCTGCATGACTGGCTAAAGGTCATCAGGTTATTAGGTGACAGAACAAGGATTTGGATCCAAGTCATAAGATCATAGAGTCACAGGTCTAGGGCAGGAAGGGATCTCAGAAGCCATCTAGTCCAAGCTGCTTCATCACACAGATGAGAAGAGAGGACAGAGAGGCTTTGTGATTTGCCTAAGGTCACACGGGTAGGTCCATCCAGACTCTAAACTTCAGGTTCTAAACCCAGTTCTCTTTTCCACTGTTCTTTCTTTATAATTACTGGTGGACAGCTGTCGTTGATAGATTTCTTTCAATTTCCTATTTAGTTCTGTGATTCCTTTCCCTCTCAAGTGGTTGATTATTTCACACATCAAATTTTAATCAGCCTTCTAAGGCTTTTACAGGATGGTATGTGATTACTTTGCTACTTAGATGTGTGATTAAAACCCAGTATCTCTAAAAATAAAATCTTACTTCCCTGAATTTTGTAGTACCTTCTGGAGTCTGTAGCAATGACACCAAACAGATGACACTTTTAATAACTTTTTTTTAGTTAATATTTATGTGTTTGCTATCTCTGAGCTTACCCATCTGGTAAAAGGGTCCATGATACCAAAAAGTATTAAGAATCCATCTCATACACCCTAATCTTCCTTTATCCTTTCTTTGTCCTCTTGCATTTATCTGTTTTTCCTCCCTTTTATCCCAGCTTGCTCCATCTGCTTGTCAGGAATCCCTCCTTAAATCCTCCTACCTCAGCAGCCTATTCTTCTCTAAGTCCCTTCTGCCACTCCCTCAATAAAGTTTCACAAGCTCCTTTTTTTCTGAATAAGGGAGTGAAGATAAGAAGAGAACAGAAACCTGGGGAAAACAAGTGGCAGAAATCTTGCTCTCAAATAAACTTTTAAAGATAAATTCAGTTGGGGGGCAGAGGAAGGAAGAAGAGGGCAAGCCTGGGTGGGGGAGATTTCACTTGGGGCACATATGGAAACTGTCATCTACTAGCTTTTTCTGGTCAGTTATTTCAGTTGTGTCTGACTCTTCATGACCCCATTTGGGGTTTTCTTGGCAAAGATACTGGAGTGGTTTGCCATGTCATTCTCCAGCTCATTTGACAGATGAGGAAACTGAGGCAAATAGGGTTATATGATTTGCCCAGGGTCACAGAGGTAGTAAGTGTTTGAGGCTAGATTGGAACTCGGGTCTTCCTGACTCCAGGCTCAGCACTCTATCCTCTGTGTCGCCTAGTTGCCCATTATGTAGTCTATCAATCCATGTTTATTAATTATCATTATTTTGTAGTTTTCTCCATATTGCTCCAGTATATTCACTATAGGCTCATTTTTCTCTCCTGTGGAGAGAAGAGAATAAGCATTCATATAGTACCTACTATGGGCCAGGGCGTACTAAGTGCTTCGTAAGTATTATTTCATTTGATCCTCACAACAACTCTTTGAGGTAGATGTTATTATTTCTGTCTACAATTGAGGAAACTGAAGCAGATAGAAGTTAAATGACTTACTCAGAGTCACACAGCTAGTAAGTATTTGAGACTAAACTTGAACTCAGGTCTACCTAACTCCAGGCCCAGTGCTAGTATCCACTGCACTATCCTCTTGGCTCTTGGTAGTCCTGTTCTTAAGTCACAAGACTTAAATCAGGCAAACTCTCACAGGGCCTCACATCCTGTATATATTGCTTTTATGTTTAGCATCTGAAAGGTGTTAGGAAAATAGAATCTGGGATCTCCTGGTCACAATGAAATGCAAACCACTTAGCAGGCTACAGATAATTTAATAGGAAGTCAGGTTTATATCTATGTCATTTTTGTAACTAAAGTAGTTTTAAAACTCCTGACAAACTTGTTTTGTTTGTAAGAATAATATTTACATAGTGCTTTCCGGTTTCCAAAGTTCATATTTATATAGTGCTTTACTGTCTTCCCAACAACCCCATTGTGAAGGAGGTAGTGTGGGTATTACTATCAAACATTTTATAGAAGAAGAAACTGAGTTTCAGATAGGTTAGGTGATATGCCCATTGTCACAGAGCTATTAAGTGTAGGAGCTGGGATTCAAACCCGGACTTATTGATTCCAACTCTAGCACTGTTTCCATTTTACCACATTGCCTCAATACAAACCATCTCTTTATCCCACTATTTCCTCCTCACCTCCACTTTCCTCCATTTTTTGGGGGGAGGGGTGGAAGAGGGTGGAAGGGGAAGAAAGGCAGTTCTTTGGCTCTTTTGCCTCTCTTTCCCTGTGGGCCTTGGCTGATCCAGCTGGGGTTAGGGAACTCTGCTTGCCTGCCACTTCTTCATTTGTGGGAAGGATTAATGAGCAGAACATGGAAGCCCTTAGCAATGAAGTTAAACCCAGAAGTTCTGTTCCTCATGTAGAACTCATATACCTAATTTAGCTCTTGGTGAGCTGTATTTTAGTTATTCACTATTTTGATACCACTGTACCAAAATATTTAAATGTAGAAAAGCTCTTACCATAAATGAAAAGTATATAGCCTGTTATAGTGGATGTAAGAGAGAAGAAAAATGGTCAGATATGTTTTCCCAACGTCCAAAAAGGAGAGATGTATCTTATATGATAGGAGGGTTTTGGAGGTAGTTTGAGGTAGGAG